ACATGTGTATTGATTGGGAATTGATGTGAACACTGAAAGATTTAGCACACATTGATATGACTCTGAAACCATTCTGTATTTCGACTACGGCTAACGGTTATCGGTAATGTGCTATAACCTATAAATTACCTATGATTGCACATAAGAACTACATCCAAGTTATGAAACAATGGAATTGGTTAACAAAAGAGCTCGTGAATGTAAACCCCGCTCACCGGGAACTTGATATTTGAATGGAAACGTAATACCCCGAATGTTCTATCAGGGACTCCTATCATCTGTTTGGTCTAATATATGTCTTGTGACATAGATATCCGCCTAAAGAGGATTAGCATAGTTGGATAATACTACAGTAATGTGTTTTTCTTGCTGTTAAAAGACATTACTAATGTTCTGTTATCTGTAAATTAACTTTAATGAGTCATGATAATCGAATGGAACAATGATGCTTGTGTATCCCGAATCGTTCTATTTTGTCAATGATGAATCAAGGCTGTTATGAGGTAAATTATGTTGTCTCTACAAATAGTATTGTGATGGCACATGTGTAATCTGTGGGATACGCTATACTTATTGCTAATGATTGTCATTAGTATTCTGTAAAATGTAAACTAATTACGTTAACTCATGTAAATGATTGGAAGAATCTGTGTGCCTCTATATAACTCTGAGACTAGTCTGTTTTGATGATATCTGAGGTTATTCTGTTTTGTTATTGTTCCGTCTATTGCATGACATGATGAGACCTATTGATTTCTGGTATGGAACAAAGTGCTGTATGGAACTAAGTGCTACACTTTGGTGGGAGCCACCTCTAGAATCTGTGCAGGCCACCTCTTGAGTCCATACATATATGAACCGGGCTTAAAGCTGTTCCGTTATTTCTGGGCCGATGGCCGTTCTGTTATTTCTAGGCCAATGGCCGTTCTGTATCTGTTAGGCCTATGGCCGTTCCGCCTAGTCTGCTAGGCTTATGGCTAAACTGTGAAATCTGTGGGCTTACAGCCATTATGTATGTTTCTGGGCTTAAAGCCATTCTGAATAAGTCTTAGCTTGGGACCATTCTGAAAACATCTACCGCACGAGATTAATCATATATCCTCTGTATCAATAAACATTATAGTTTCATTTAATTAATGATTATTAAAGTACTATTATTCACTGAGTTTGACTCACTTTATGTTCTGTCTGTTTCTGTAGGCACTCGACCTGGAGGTCAGTCTTAACCCATGGCATTCGTTTCTCTTTCGACAACCTCAGTGTGTCCAAGCACTTAGATAAAGCCTGCTCAGTTTTGTAGAGTCTTGCTAAGCTTTCGGTCTTGTACCTGATTATTTGTCTAAGCTTGAAGTGTGTGTAATCCTTTTTCCTTTCAATGTCTTTATCATTATGCCCAGTCTTAGGGGTTGGGTCTGCGTGTGTTTATGTACTTAGCTAAACCCTTAGATGCATGTTGCTATATGTTTATCTTCTTTATGTTCTATTTGCAATCCTGGCATATTAGAAGTAGCTCAATGGATGTGATTTTATGTTACTTCACAATATTAAATGCTTCCGTTCAGGCCCCATATGTTATGTATATCAGGTTAGGTGTCTGTTTTTTAATAGGTCACGCCCAAACTTTTAGGGGCAAGTTTGGGGTGTGACATGTGTCCCACATGGTCGAACCATAGAATTTCCCTCACGAATTGAATCCATTATCACAAATCAAACAAGATCTCACTCTAAAATATTTTTTTAAAGAAAATAGAACGACCTGCTCTGATACCCTAGATGTTGATTTGTGATTATGTATCAATTTTAAACAGTAAATAACAATCCCAATCAAACAATCAAGACAAATCGACACAACGATTTTACGTGAAAAAATCACAATTGAAGCACCTCCAATTGTGATAAAAAATCATGGGTAAGAGCCACAAAACAGTCCACTAAAAAGACATAAAGGAATTACATAAGTGTACTCTCAATTACCTAACGAATCCACGCCCGAATCGAACTGACCCCTATGTACCTCTTCTAGCCTCGTCTTAACATTGGAATTGTCTTGCCCAATGTTGAATCCACAACATGATGTTGAATCCACAACGATGAACCACTCTAGAATCCACCAAAGCTTCAGGCTCGAATTCCACGGAATCCACCGAAGAACAACACTCTCTTTTGTATTGAATAAACAAACAATCCTTTGATATATACTTCTAGAATTGATAGCTTTACTATTCCAGCTACTATTTTGGTAATCAATTGTGTCCCACTTGTTAATTGGTTTGGGAAAAGTTACTCCATCAATAGTAAACGTCGGTTCGGTCCACCTATACATGACAGATTGCCAAACTTTTTCATCAATAGATTTTAAAAATGATCTCATCCGAGCTTTCCAAAATGAATAATTGGATCCGTCAAGTAAGGGTGGTCGAACCATAGAATTTCTTTCACGAATTGTATCTATTATCACAAATCAAACAAGATCTCGCTCTAAAAGATTTTTTTTTTTTAAAATAGAACGACCTGCTCTGATACCAATTGAAAAATCTAGAAATTTCCTATATGTTGATTTGTGATTATGTATCAATTTTAAACAGTAAATAATAATCCTATTCAAACAATCAAGACAAACCGACAACGATTTTACGTAGAAAAATCACAATTGGAGCGCCTCCAATTGTGATAAAAAACCACGGGCAAAAACCACAAAACAATCCACTACGGAGACATAAAAGAATTATACAAGTGTACTCTTAATTACCTAGCGAATCCACGCCTGAATCGAAGCGACCCCTATGTGCCTCTTCCAATCCTGTCTGGCTTGGATTGTGTGCCAGAGGAAGCGGCTTACATTGTGCGCCAGAGAGGAGTGGCTTGGGTTGTGCGTTAGAGAGTGCGGCTTGGATTGTGTGCAAAAGGAGGCAGCTTGGGTGATGCGCTAAGGGGCGACTTGGGTGGCGTACCACAATGGACGGCTTAAGTTGTGCGCCATAGGAGACGGCTTAGGTGGTTTGCATGGTGTATAACCATGTTCACCATGATATAGATATAATAACCCCCTCAAACTCAAAATAGGTTTGAAGATAAAAACCAATTTAAGGTTGAAGCAGATGGAAAGATAGAGTGGAGGAAAAAAAAATGTATTGCGAGTAAAAAAAAAATATGATAGAAATATTTGGGGTAGGAATAAACCAGCGGGTAGAGAAAGAGATCACCATAAAGCGATACTGAAAGGAAAACATAATAGCGGAATAGGTTGAGGTCTGACGGCCCCCCCCCCCCCCCCCCCCCCCCCGCCGGTAAAGCGAATTTACCAGGTTCTTAACCTAACTCTGATACCATGTTAGAATAGTAGAGAGAGAGAAAAAATAATATGTATTGTATTGAATGAATTATATTGAATGATATGTCCCATACAATAGAAGGCCTGTATATATAGGTTGAGAAATAGTATCCTACTTGAAATCTAACTATGAGAAAGAATATCCTATAAGAGACCTAACTATGATATTACCTAATATATCTAGAAAATCAATACCTAATAGATGTAGAAATATATATCATATATACATTAACAATTCCGATTCTAAAATGGTATTAAAATAATAGGCATTGTTATTCATATCTAAAAATTATATTTATTTTTTAAATCCAATGATATGGTAATCAATTAAAATATTTATAGTAACACTTTCTCTCATCTTTTTTTTAATTATTAATTAATTATTTATTTATATATTATTAAATCTAAAAAATAAATTTAAAAATTAAACTTCCATATTATTTTTCTAAAATGATATCTCTGGGAGCATATAATAGCCGGGCCCGGCCACTAATGTAAGTCACTAGTTCTATCCATCATGACCAGAAAGAGGTCCCCATAAATAATATAGACAAATAAAAGTGTCGGTTATCAAATGGGCATCATTTAATTCCAAAGAGAAAAAAGTAAGGACTTGCTCTTATATTACACACTTAAATCCACAAATGCCTTAATTTTAAAAGATTCGTTGAGATCAGTGAATCTGTCCTCCCTGTGTGTCGTTGTGGATGTTAAGCGATGTAAAACTTGGACTTGGCTCTTTGTTTTCTTAGCACTAACACTACAAACTTTTCTTTGGCTCTTTGTTTTCTCGCTACGACCTTTAATTTAAGCGGAATTTGTTTTAAGAAATCAGAGTAAGTTCTTAAATTATAGTATCTTTGTTCGAAACGGTTAACAGGATATCCTAATAATCTTTACAAGGGGTGTTATCTTGAACTTGTGAAGAATAGGGAGGATTTTTCTGTAACAGAGGATTTTTCTGTAAAAAAAAAAAAAAAAAAACTAACACTACAAACTTTTGGTTTAAATTTTCAGGATTAACTTTTTAAAAATTTAAAAATTTTTATTTTTCATATTTTTTATTTTTATTGGATTTTTTTAATATTCTAAATAATTTTTTCTTAATATTTAGATGCATCTAATATAAATAAACTAAAAATGATAATATTTGTGAAAAAAATCTTTAAAAAATCACTAAATATCAAAATTATAAAAAAATATACGAGAATTCAATATATTTTTTATATTCTTATATTTTTATTGATTTTTTAAAATATTTTTTTATTAATATTTTACTTTTTAAATATATTTAAGTAAGGTGTATCTAAAAAATTTAAAAAATTACTTAAAACTTTAAAAATATTCACTAAAAATATAAAAAAATTAATTTTCAAAAAATTAAATCTAAAAAATTAAAATCAAATACACTGATTATTATTTATCTTAAATTTATTTAGAATTATTATTTTATAGTTTAGATTTATTTTCTCACCGTATAAATTTAATCACAAACATGCAATGTCATTCGAAATAAATTTTGAATAGGTACGTAAATTTATTCTTTTCTTAAAATTCATGCAAATAAGGTGGAAAAAAAAAATTATTATTTAATATCTTGTTCGCATCTAATAATCTTTCCATATAAGGGAGAGTTTTTTTTTTTTTTAACGGTAAGGGAGAGTTTGGGAGTCATTTAAGGAAGCTGTACCTGAACAAGTCACGTGGGTGCGCAAGGAAGTCTACTTATTCAGACAAACGCACACACATCAACCATAAACATAGTACTACTAGGCAGGTTATTAAGTCTGTATCCCTATGGACAGTGTTTGCTGTGTTCCATTAGGAGTGAGAAAAGGTGCATGGACTGGAGAAGAAGATAGTCTGCTAAAGAAGTGCATTGAGCAATATGGAGAGGGAATGTGGCACCAAATTCCTTCCAGAGCAGGTAAAAAATGGATCTTCAATGGACTCTCTCTCTAGTTAACATTGTATTTGAGAGAGAGAGAGAGAGGGGAGAGCAGCAAAATCTATCTTTCTACAGATGAGAGAGAGAAAAAGGTGAGAGATGAGAGAGGCAAAACTCTGCCATACAAAAGAAGAGAGAGGAAAAAGGAGAGAGAGAAAGGAGGTGAAATTTTATTTTTTTTGCTATTTATATAATTTATATTTCTCACTTAACACATATTTTAATTAAATTGATTATTTTCTTTGATTCAAAAAACTTTTCTTTGCTAATCAATAAAAAATAAAAAATAAAATTATATTTCTCACTTAACACATATTTTAATTAAGTTGATTATTTTCTTTGATTCAAAAAACTTTTTTTTGCTGATCAATAAAAAATAAAAAATAAAAATTTGGCCCACTCGTTCACTTTTTAAATTAATAAATACCTTTAATACAAAGAATTGTATGAATAAATTTTTTATTACTTTGTGCATTAATAAACAGTTTAACAAATAATTTTAGTCATTCAATTAATGTGGATGCTCAAAACAGTTTAATAATAAAAAAAAAATCTTAAAATATTATGAGATATAGAGAGGGGCTATTTGATGATTCATTTTTAAGTGGATATATTTTTCTTGTCCCACGTTTGTGTTTTGTGGTTTTCTTTTTTAATAAGGCAAAATGAAAGTTATTATTAGCTTGAAAAAATATATATATTAAGAAATTAAAGATTAAGGGAAAAAAGTTCTCATTAGCATCTCAGATAAGCTAGTTAAATTGACACTTTTAGCGTTTTTTTGCTAGTCGCTTTTCTAATATTGGTTATTTTATCTTTTAACGTCTTGACTAATTTCATTTGGAGAACCATTCCACGCTATCTAAACATTCAAAAAGAATATTCAGCTTGTTTAGTTTAGTTTTTTATGATTTAGTTTTCAAAAAATTTTTAAAAAAAAATTTCATATTTTTTGTTATTTTTACTAACTTTTTAAAATATTTTAAGCAATTTTTTTAATTTTTAAATACACCTAACATAAATACATTTATTAAAATATTTTAAGCAATTTTTTTAATTTTTAAATACACCTAACATAAATACATTTAAAAAACTATAATATTTGTGAGAAATTTTTTTTAAAAATTCACTAAATACCAAAAATACAAAAAATATGTATGTACAAAAATTCAGTATATTTTTTTATATTAGTGTATTTATTAATTTTTTAAAATATTTTCTTACAAATACTTTTTAGATATATCTAAAGAAATATAAAAAATTGTTTAAAATTTTAAAAATATTTACTAAAAAATAAATAAAAATTAAATTCAAAAAATTAAAACTAAATATAATAATTATTATTCGTCTCCTTCGGTCTCTCTCTCCTCTGCTTCCTTTTTTATTGGAGAATGCACGTCAAAAGAGAAATAGTTTTAAATGACTAGTTAAAATGAAAGGATATGTTGAAATGAATGAATAAAATATCCACTAGCTAAAATAAATAATGTAGTTTGTAAATGGTACATACCAACTTAGATTAGCACACACAAATAACAAATTTCATGCATTTTCCAAAACTAGAAAAGAAGAATATTGTTATACACACACCTACATGTGTAATTGGTTAAAAAAATAATAATTTATTATAGGTATGTAGCTATGGAGCAAAGTTGCTTTTGCTATGATGCTTTTCTGCTGCTTCTTTTGTTTGGTGTGACTTCAAACATTGATTGATATATAGTGAATAAGTTGTTACGTATAAATTTTTTGTCCTTATGATATTGATACAGCTTAATATATTTTCTGGAATAAAAAAGTACATATGAGTTGACTAGATCCCAATACCTATCAATCCATAATAATTCCTGAGCTAATTGATCATTGATACAGTCGATTCAAAGCCAACGGAACCGATAATTTTTAGAAATTCACACAATGAAGATATTCTATTCCTGATATGTATTACTTGATACTGAATTATGTCACGTTGAATACTGACATATTTTTTGATACCATTATTTGAAATCATGATGTAATTTTGGCGTGCTCCTTTGTATTCTTAATTTACATCCAACAAAAAAATGCCTTTGTTTCTTGTATTTACAGGATTGAATAGATGCAGAAAAAGTTGTAGACTAAGATGGCTGAATTATCTGAGACCAAACATAAAAAGAGGCAATTTTACGATGGATGAAGTTGATCTCATTATCAAGCTTCAGAAGCTGCTAGGCAATAGGCAAGTACGACTATTGTAATATGTGAACAGTCATGGGCATATTTCAACGATTGCAAGTTATTTTGTGCTTGGATATTTTTTTTTGGAAAATGTCTCGTAACTCAAATTTTGTGACTTAAAAGTGGTTCAAATGGCCAAAACGATGTCGTTGTCGTTTTGCCATTTTTATGTTATTCTGTACTCAAAACGACTTCGTTTTGACTATTTGAGCCACTTTTGAGCCACAAAATTTGAATTACGTAATATTATCGTTTTTTTTTTGAACTACATTTTGAAACTTATGTCACATCTTAGTATTAGCATCTCACTTGAGATAGATTTTTTTAGTGATTTTTTAAATTTTTAAAAAAATTTAAAATGTTAATAAATTTTAAAAGTTGCAATGATTAGTTGAGTTTTTATGAGTGAAAATTTAAATTTGACATTTGAATTTTTTTAATTAACAGAAAATAAATTTTTAAACTTTTTAAATTTTTTTAATAAATCCCAGATGCGGCCTAAGTTAAAAATTAACCAACACATGCACTTTTTTTTTAATTTTTTTTTTAAATTTTTATCATAACCATTTATCACATGTACAAAAAACTCTTTTTTAACGTCACATGGTCTCATTTCAAAAAGCAACAAGTCCAGCTCGATATTCTTAAAATATTGGAAAAAAATATTGATTTAGAATCACGTGACACTGTTTGCGGGACGGAATTTAGAAAAAATGATAAGAGACATCACTTCTCTATTTCTATGAGAAATATTATTTGTCATAACATGTTATATATATATATATATATTTATGTCATTTTATATATAAAATAGTCTCTTAATATAAAAAATATATATCATATTTTTCTTCTATTTTGAATTCTCTTTTTATTTTGTACCAAAAAACTTGTTCATCTTATTAGATATTGCTTCTATATATGTATATATATAATTTACAGGCCTAGATCCGTGGCCTGCCCAAATCCCGAATATCCCTAGGTCTTGGCCTAATCTTCTAATCCGTGAGCCGGGCCGGCCCATTCCAGTCTACTGTTTATATAGTGATCTTTATAAATAAAAAATTACAAAATATGTTAGGTGGGCTATTCTGCCTCTCAAAATTTCTTTGAAAATATAAATAAATAATAAAAAACTAAATTACAATTTTTTATTTTTTATTTTTTTTAAACACAAAGCGACTGCAAAAAATTTAGAAGTGAAGCATCAATCAATAGAATTCTTCCTCAATTAAATTCTTCTTTGTCACTAAGTTTAAAAACTAATGTACAATTAGTTACATATTAAACAGATTATATGTCCTCGTTATTATTTTAATCTATATACATTAAATCTTAGGTGAATTACATAGATCTTTCATGAGATTTGTCAAAAACATAATAAATTTTACAAGTTTAATATAATTATATTAATTTTATAAAAAAAGAAGTCGATATAATTATATTAAACTATGGGACTTACTGTGTTGTCTCCAAATCTTTGATGAAATAAACATAATTTACCCTTATATTTAATGCATTCGCTTTTTTCGTTAAATAGATGGTCGTTGATTGCGGGTAGACTTCCAGGAAGAACAGCAAATGATGTAAAAAACTATTGGAATACCAACTTACAGAAGAAACTGATCACTCAAAGAGAAAAGGTGAAAGCCAAGACTCAAGAGAAGATGGAAACCATAATTATACGACCTCGGCCTCGAATCATCTCCAAAAATCAACCACGGTTAATGGACAAAACTGCCATTATAGAAAATATTCGAACAAGAGACAACCTTAGCGAGCCATTTCCACTACCGCTACCGCTACCACCATCGCGGGATGATGGAATATCATGGGATAACATTGTTGTTAACTCGAAAATTAACAATGGAATCACATGGTCCGCAAATGGCTTGATTGAGGAGGGCAATATAGGGAATTGGTATGAGAAAATAAGACCAGGTACACATACATCTTGTGGCAATTTCATTGATGAAGACCAGAGTGATTGGAGTGACATTTTCTTTAATAATGTGAACCTTTGGGATCTGTTAGGTGATGAATGAGCAATAATGTAATGTTCTATCTGATTATTTATTATTAAAATTTGTATGTTATATGCTCCACAACATGTTTGATAGGAAGAAGAAATGGGTTGAAATTAGAGTTGAAATTAATTCGTTGAACTTTATCATGTTTAGTACATCAAATTGAAGTTGAAATTAATGATCATTCCATTACACAGTCATTATCCGATTCCTTCGTAGAATGTACTCTAATGCTTACATACTATTTTTCACCCTATACCCACTATTCTTCTTTTTCTTCTCCTTCATTGTGATTCTACCCCTCAACAAAATTATCATTAAGGTTAAAAATTCTAAAATTTTGTATTATGATTCTAAAATTAATAATGTTACTCATCGAAAATGTTCACAATATATCTCAATAATTATGATTTACATCTTAATAACTATTATTTATGTTGATTATTGCTCCGAAAATATAATATTATAATAATTATTGTGAAAAATACATTATAATCAATTCACTCATTAATACAATATTTTCAAATTGAATCTTTTTTTATTGGATTAGGAAAATGAAAAGAAACAAGTATATATAATATAGTTGTCAAAAAAAATATATACATATATATAATTTCATGTTTAATTGTTTATAATAAAATGTGTGTATAAATCCTTTCAATTTTATTTCTCAATTTATAAATTTAATATTCAAACATAGCCTCAAGTCAACCAACACATTCTTAAATGAAACCAAGTTTAAGGTCAGTTTAGGCACATGCTAAACAAGCTTAATCTCTATTTAGGATCTCATAGCTTTTTTCTGGTTAAAAAGGCTAAAAACAAATGAGTCTGTTTGGATGACTTCTCTGCCTCTCTGTATATATATATATAAATTCATTTTTTTAAATAAATTTGGGAAATATATGATTTTACACTTAACATTTTTAAAACTCCCTCATGCCTTAGGGGTGTAAAAATGGTCCACGACCCAAGATGAACCCGGCCCGGTTAGACCCAAGTCCAAGCCCAGTCTGGGACCCTAAGCCTGGGCTTAGGTTGTCATTTTGAAACTCGCCCTGCCCGTGAGCCGGCCTGCCTGACTCGACCTGTGGCCAAGTCCATCGGCCAGTTAGAGGCGCACCCAAAGCCCGGCCAACCCGAGGTCCAAAGTTATTTTTGTTGGAAAAATAGAAAATATATATATATATATATATATTCAAACCCGCCTAGACTTGGCCTAAGCCCGAACCCAGGCCTAGATCCGTGGCCTGCCCAAATCCCTAATATCCCTAGGTCTTGGCCTAATCTTCTAATCCGTGAGCCGGGCCGGCCCATTCCAGTCTAAATTTTAGCGAGAGCCCGCACGACCCATCATGGGCCGGGTCAGGTCAAATTTACACCCCTACCATGCCCCTATAAGGACTCTCCAATCTATAAGAATAATATGATAAAAAAAAAAAGAAAAAAAAAGTAAGGGAAAATACCAAAAAAGTGAAGGGTAGAAAAAATAATTTAAAAAATGATGATACTACAAGTCTTTATTGCATAAATTTATGCATGAACCATTTGTACTTCTACTATTTTGAAATTATTTTGTCTACACTTTACTTTTTTGAAATTATCCGAAAAAGTAATGGTCAAACCCCACCTAAATTAACTAAGGCATTTGGCGTAATGGTTATGTAGAACCAGTCTTAGGTTTAACTCCCATAGAGATGAGTTTTATATTTTTTTGTGGTGTTTGATTTATTTTTTCGTAACTAATTGTTTAACTTTTTAACTATTGTGGATTAGTAGTTTATTTGATGATATAAATATTTCTCATAATGCAATTACTCTCCTATCTATTGATAAACAAAAAACAAAAAAAAAACACACACACACACCAAAATTTTTGAGTCAATAGCCACCTAGAAGTGCACATGTAAAACTCATGAAGCACAAATAAATTTTATAGGAGGATCGATTCAGTTTAGCAAAATTTTAAAAACTCACATCTTTCAGAAATTTTAATTTTAATTTTTTTTGTTGTTGGTACTTTTCAAGTCTTATTAGTTTAGAATGATCTAAAAAAATCAAATAGTTCACCAAAAATTTTTAAAAAAAAATTACAAAACCCACAACCTTTCCCAACAAAAGTGCAATTTGTTTTTAGCATTTATCAACATTATTAATTTTTTAGTAACAATCTTATCTTTAACAAGTGTAAAAATTAAAATTTGTTTATCAAATCTATCCTCAACAATTACAATATGTAATTAGAGGTATACTATCAAATCACTAAAATAATTCAGTTTAGGGATGACACTATCAAACACTAATTAAAGTGCATTGCATAGATGAAGAAAATATGTGAACAAAATAATAATGAAAAATTAAATAAGAAAGATAATATTATAATGTGTGAGATGATGAGAGGTACAACAAGGTGCCCTCAAATTCGAGCAAAGATCCTCTAGAGTGATTTTTTCCTAAAGTTTCATAAAGTGCTACATTGTGTGGTTGAGATTTACTGGCAAGTCACATCAATTTTTCTGATGTGACTTGCCAGTAAATTTCAACCACACAATATAGCACTCTAGGAAACTTTAGGAAAATTTCACTCTAGAGGATCTTTGGTGCTCAAATTCACTTATTTTTGTACACATATTGACAGGCAAATGTAACTCTACCACAACTTGAAAGCACGAAATGTCAACGTTGCATGATCAGTGGCACCAGTACATAAGGTGCCCAATCTTTTTTAATTGTTCTTGATCCAAAAAAAAATCCTTTTTAATTGTTCAAAAAAAATCAGAGAACCAAAATAATTGGTATGTATATGTAAATGATAACGGCTCAATTTGAAAATTCAGTTAAAAGTAAAAAATTAACTTTTAACTTATTTTTTGGATCATATCACTTCTTCATTTTTTATATATTTAAAAAAAAAAACTAAAAAGTTAACTTTTAACCAAATTTTCAAAATAATCTAACATTGAGGGAATCTACCTCATGTTTCGTGATAGATAAAGTGTGAAATCTTTTTTAATTGTCCAAACAATCAAAATTGTTAGGTTTTATTTCTTGGCAATCCCGTTTGACAAAACTCCTTTCAGTTGTATTTATTTTCGTACATTTATTTCAGTGAGGCTATGAGTGTTTAGATGCGAATCCAACCCGAATTGAGCATTTCAGAGAAGTTTGTGATGCAAATATTTTCAAGATTGCCACTTTGCTGATTATTACGGGGGTCGAGCTGCCCGGTCAGCTCGTGGCCCGAAGAAAAATGCAAAAATGCATTCAAAGTTGCCTGTCCGATCATGTTATATTTTTCCAGTTTTTCCAGTTTTGGCCTTTCCGCTCGAGCGGGAAAAGGGACACTCGAGCGGGGATTGGAAGCTCTCATCATATCTGCAATCGCCTGAAAAAGTACTGGATGGTGTGATTCGACGCTCAAGCGTCAAAACCGCCGCTCGAGCGTGGAGCCTGTATGAAATCACGGAATTTGAAATCTCCGCTCGAGCGGGAAGACCCACGCTCAAGCGGACCACGCGATCCCAGATTTCCAGATTTGATTAAGGAGTTGGTTTTCTTCTGAAACTAGGATTGCTTTGGTTTTCTATAAATAGTTGGTTTTCTCCCAACACTAGAGGAACTTCTCCAGATCTACTTTTTGGATCTTAAGGTTTATATCTGGAGATATTTTGCTAGTTTCTTTGATGTTTTATTGAGTATTCAACTCATGGTTTAAAGAGAGTACATCAAAGGTTGTGTTTTGTTCTAAAAAAGAGAGAGTTGTTCTTCGGTGGATTCTGAAGAATTCGAGCCTGAAGCTTTGGTGGATTCCGGGGTGGCTCATCGTAAAGACAATTCCGAGGTGAAGACGGGTTGGAAGAGGCACATAGAGGTTGGTTCAATTAGGCGTGGATTCGCTAGGTAATTGAGAGTATACCTGTGTAATTCCTTTAAATCTTCTTAGTGGATTGTTCTTGTGGCTGTTGCCCGTGGTTTTTTATCACAGTTGGAGGTGTCCAATTGTGGTTTTTTCCACGTTAAATTGTTGTGTCTCTTTGTCTTGATTGTTTGATTAGGATTGTTATATTCTGCTTAAAATTGATACATAATCACAAATCAACATCTAGGGGATTTCTAGATTTTTTCAAAAATAATTGGTATGTATGTTAATATCACATAGGTGGAACAAGTAATCATCTAATCCTCTAGGAATTTTAAGGTGATAGCATACCCATATTAGACACAGTCATTATTCGATTCCCTCCTGGAATGTACTCTAATGGTTGCATACTATTTTTCATCCTATACCCATTATTTATTTATTTGGGTAAATTACAAACACACTCTTTGAGATTTATTTAAATTACAAATTACTCCTTGTGGTTTTAAGAATTACATTAAGCCCCCTATGGTTTCTAATTTCATAACAAATAGGTCTTTTTATTAACAAATCATTAAGTTAATTAACAGTTTTTAATAATGTTAAAATTTATTTCAATTATAATTCAGATAACTTTATTATTGTGGCCTCTTTTGGGGACTTGGCTTTTAGCCACTTTTTTGAGTTTGTAGCAAAAATTAAAAGTTGGCTTTTTTTGTATTCAAAGACATTTGGGAAGTTGGTTTTCAGCCACTGGTGAAATTACAATTCTATCCCTCATGGGTCAAAATGTGCTACATAGTGTAGCTTGACTTTTTGTGCTACTTTCGGAAGACGAATAAGCCCTACAGTGTCGGACTCCCGCAGTTCTGAATCTGATCTTACAAGTACAATGTGGAATAGATAAACACCAAAGAGCACAAATTTGACAAATCTTTTGTAAAATTGATTTTGAATTAAATTGCCAAGAATGGACTGCTTTACCAGATACAAAGTCGCCGCCTAAATATTTTGAAAAATTTAGGGAATGCATGACTTGTGCCAAAGGCCATATGTCCGTCATCACCAAGATTGTCCCGGTTCGAGAGCTTAGGTACGAGAAGGGAAGGTCATGAATTGAGCATCCTCGCTTGCCCGATCAAATTTGTAAAAATTTGATACACACACAAGTATAGACTAATTTGTAAAAATTAGAACATTTGATTTCATTTATGTTTTTGAAAAAAGTTTGTGAATGTGCCACTTGAAAAAGTGAGCTCAAATGTACATGAATCAAACTATTCCAATTCAAGCAACGACCCTTCATCTACAAGTATTCAAACAGTTTATCACTTAAGCACT